CTGCCGTCTCCAGGAGGCTGCGCTTAAATTCAGAAATATGTGCAAGAGGCAGAGTGAGCTCGTTGGGCTGAAAGCGCTCCAGGAACAGGGGCACGGCTGGAGGGAGAGCAGGGAGCAAGGGAGCTGTGGATGGGGGGGGGGGGTGTGTCCCCAGTGGGGCTTAGCTGCGAGTCCCCCCCCGTCCCCCCGTGTTTTTGGCAGCTGCTGGGAGGGCAGCGTGTGTCGGGGCTGCGGCAGCAAGCCTTGGGAGCCTCCGACCGTCCGGCTCACCGCAGTTTGTTTCCTCTACGCTCCCTCGCTTTGCTTTCTGGTCGCCAGCACGAGCTGTCTCCTCCCATACCAGCAGAGCTGGAAATAGAGAAGGTTCCCTTTTTTTTTTTTTTAATTTATTTTTTTGTTGTGTGGTTGGGTTTTTTTCTTTTTTTTTTTTTTTTTTTTTTTTTTTAGCAGCAGCAGCTGGAACAGGGGAAATGAGGTTTTTCAGCTACCCCGGGGAGGAGGCGTTGTCGCCAGCAAGGTCCCTGCGAGCCGTCTGGGGCTGCCAGCGTGCCACTGAGTCACAGCCAGCAGCCACACAAACGGATGGGTTTTGCACTAAATAAATACCGCTTGGTGGGACTGGATGGCTCAGCAGGGGAATGTGGAATGCAGTTAAGCTTTTTTTTTTTTTTTTTTTTTAATTATTATTTCTTCTATGCTTCTTAACTAAATGATCTGCAAATTAATTCAGTGCTCGTAGAGGAAAAGGGGGCTGTTTGTGGTGCCAGCAGCGCTGGGGGCTTTCCCGAGCCGCCTGGCCATGGCACTTGTATGGGTTTGCATTAAACCTTGATGGATGTGGCCAAGCCCGTGGTGTTTTTCCTGGTGCATTTCCAGGATTTGAGCCCTGCAGTGAAGATGTGGACTCCTCTGCCTGGAGCAAATGCTAGAGGGGATTGTGCCAGGCCAGGCATTGGCATTGCTCACCTCGAACCTCATCAAGCCCAGCTGCTTAAGGGCTCTGGTCATTGCTTGCGCAATCAGTAGTTGCACAAGAAAATGCCCTTCCAGTGATGCTTCGCTTTCGGCTGAATCCTTTGCAGGGCTGTAGCTCTGTCACAGGTCCCTCTGCCTTGGGGACCGGAGTCGTTCTCCCTCTGCAGCGACTGCGAACGACCCAGAAGGGCTGGAGAGAAAGTGTGGCTGCGGCCGGTCCCATCACGTTTCTGTCTCTGTGAACGAGGGTGTTCGGCCAGATTTTCTGCCAAAGACTAAAACTGGTTGTGGGCTTTGATTGTAGCATATCTTGGGGAAATAGGAAACCACAGAAACGTGTGTGGTCAGCATCTCGCAAAGGTTCTGACTGTGTTTTTTGTCGAACGTGCAAAACAGGGCTGGGGGGTTTGCATGGCTTTTTTTTTTTTTTTTTTTTTTTTTTTCCCCTCTGAAAACCTCTCAAACTTGCAAGCCTTCCCATGTCCTTGGCTGTTCTGTGGCATGTGGCTCTGCGCTGCGCTGGGGCAAGGCCCTGGCCTTGCAAAATGAACCTGGCTCTTAATTAAGCACATTTCAGAGGCCGGCCCTGATGCCGAGTGGATGCTCGGCCCCTGTCAGAGCTTCCCCACCTCCGCGATCCAGACCAGACGCGCCACATCCACACAACACCCGGCGAATTTCTCGCATCGAGGAGCCGCACCAAGGCCAGAGTTTGAGTGGATTTCCTGCTATTTAAGCTCTTTCCTCCCCCCGGCTTTCCCTCTGCCATGTGCTGTATAATGAAACCGGGCGCCCATCAAGGCGCTTAACTCCCCTCGAATCGGCGTTGCTGGTGTGCCAGGTGTGTAACACAACCCTCCCGGCGCGCAGCTCTGCCCTTAACGGGTGGTTTCCCCCCAAAGTGCAGCAGGGCTGGTGGGGTCTCAACGCCCGAGTCTAATCACCGCTGTGAAATATTAATTAATCTGGCCGCTCCTGAAGCTTTGCGCGCGTGCTGTGGTGTCAAGAGCGGCAGGGCTCGGCTGGGCGGTGAGGTGTGGATAACGGAGGGTCGAATCCGTCGCTGGTGTAAGCTGGCAGGGGGGCTGATTTACGTGTCCCCCCCCCCCCCCCAGCTCACCACGGAGCTGTTAAAGCTGGATTGGATGCCTGCGTGCCTCGAGCTGCCGGCGTGCAGAAGGGAAGGAGAGGGGAAGGGAGCGTGTTTGAGCGAATCCAGGTGGGATTCAGGCACGCTGGCACCAGCGTGGATTCGGCCTCTCATTTGGGGGGGGGTGTCCCTGCACGGGCTGGGGGGGGAACCCCGGTGTGTGGGGGGGGGGGGGGCTGAGTGGGGGCTGCTTCGCTCCCGGCCACGTCGGTGGAAGCGACGTGCGGAGGAGTGCCGGGTGGTTGGGGGGGAAGGAGGAAAGCTGTGAATTTAATTGCTGAGCTAAAAGGCTTTGCGCCGACGGCTCCGAGCGGGCTGTGGGCAACGTCTGGGCGAGCGTTTCCCTCCGTCTGGGCGAGCGTTTCCCTCCGTCTGGGTGAGCGTTTCCCTCCCCGGCACGCTCCTGTCCATTCGGCTCAGCGACGGGGGGGGGGGAAGAAATACGTCCTGGCAGCGCCCGCCTTGGCTCGCCAGTGCCCGGCGGCTCTGCTCTTCCTCTGCTCGTCGGTGCCTCGAAATATTTCGCTGTCCCTCCACGCCGGCGTCGGGGGATGCGGCTCCCCGCGATCGGCGCTGGCTTGTGCTGCCCTCGGAGGTTTGGGTTCTTCTGCAACGCCCTCCAAAGCATCTCTGCTGGCAGCTGAGCTGTCAGCTTTTATAACACCCCCTCTGCAGATGCTGACTCTTAACGAAGGACACTGGGATGAGCGGTGATTAACGAGCGGAGAAGAGAACAAGCCGCGGCCGTGCAGCCTTAACTGTTGGGGAAGGTCAGGAACTATTAATTAACATCAGGACATTGCTCTGGATTACAGAGCTGCAGGAGCAAGCTGGGTTTGGCCACCTCTCCAGTTCTTCCTCCCCTGCTAAAGGTGGTAGAAGTCTAATGAAGCCACCCAGGGTCCCCCGTCTTCTCGTGGCTGCTCTTTCCCAACCGTTCTTTGCACTGGGCTGAGCTGAACTGCTCAATCCATCTCCCCTCCTGGTTTTGGGGGGCTGCCATTGCCTCCCCCTGCCAGGGCACGGGGCGCTTTGCTGGCCTCAGCCCCTTCACGGCACGCTACGAGGAAAGCGTTGGGCCGCAGTTTTAATCAGTGCTCAGTGCGTTTGTCTCTTAAACATGCTTAAAGAGAGAGATTCTGGCTTGCTTTGCAGCTCTACCGGCCCGTGGGCTCATGCTGATTTACATCAGGATCTGCCCTGGCTCTGGGGGGGGGGGGGGGGGGGGTGCAGGGGCAAATGGGGGCTGGCTGGTGCAGAAGCTGGGCTTTTTTAGAGGAGGTTTTCCTGCCTCTTCACTTGGTGGCAGAACCTCAGAGGAGCACCTGAGCGAGGCTTTCCCTTGCCGGGGGAGCTCCCAGCCACACTTGCTTACGGCCCCGGGCTTTCTCCTGGGAACGGCTTTTGGGAAGGAGGGGGTCTGCAAACGGTGCCCTACATCTTTTTCGGTGCCCGCCAGCCCTTGCAGCGCTGAGTCTGTCCCTTCTCTCTGCCAGCATCACTTGTTTCTTGCCTTCCCTGATATTTTTTGTTTTTTTTCCCCCCTTATGGGCTGGGGCTCCTCGCTCCATCCCCTCTGCCCACCCCAAGGTGGATGGAAAATAGGACTGATGGGTCTCTGGGCCAACTTGAATATTGCTCAGTGATGTTTCTAACACGTAGCAGGGAGATTTCATCCTTGTCTCCGGGCAGGCTCGCTCACAGGGTGCCAAAATGCTGAAGGAGTCAGAGGGTGAGTGTGAAGGAGACCCTTGCATCGGCTGCATAAATGAGATCTTGCTAAGCAAGATGAGGGGAAGGTTTCTGGTTTGGTGCCGGGCTTGGGGGAAGATAATTCTGGGCTGGAGGTACAGCCCTTACCTTCAGGCTGGTGTTTTTGCTTGGGGTTAAGAGGGGTGACCTTCATGGGATATTAGGTTTAATGAGGGATTTTGCGTGATTTAATTAAGATTTATTTGCAATCAGTTGGAGTGCCCTTATTAAGTAAATTCCAGGCCTCGAATAACACGGCCATAAGGTTTTCCAGCCACGCTTATTGCCAGGATGCCATTCAAATGGGGAGGGAGGAGGGGATTAATGAGGAATGGCTTAAGGTCGGTGTGTGTGGTGGTTTTGGGAAGTGAGCTGGGCCTGTTCGCTGTTCTCAGCTGGCCATGCTCGAACCTAAAAACCCCAGTTGCAGCTGGTACCAGTGAATCCCGCTCCTGGAAACACATGCAACGAGTTTATCCGAGAGCCTCGGGGCTCATGCCGGCATCGGAGCGGCTAGGTGGGGGTTATGCTAGCAAGCCACAGTTGCTGGGGCTGAAAGACCGCAATTACCCCCAATTAAATCGACTTTCTCGGAGCTGAGCTGTCGGAGCCAAAGGCCCTTTTGGCTCGCTTTGTCCCCCCGGCGAGAGCGCAGATGTGACCTGCGGCGGTGAAAAGCCCGAGAAATGCCACCGGGCGGGTGCAAGGTGGGGGGTGACGCAGGTTGCGCGGGTGTCTGCGGGAGCCGATGCTGCTCCTGGGGTCCCCACCTTATTCCCTCCGTAGGGAGAGGGGCGAGTCCCGTTTCTTCGTGCCTCGGTTTACCCGATCTTTAAGAAAACCCATGTCCTTGGTCCCCACAGCGGCGGGCTGCCAGCAGGAGGGGAGGGCGGGACGCACCGGTGCGGGTCCGTGCTTGTGTGTCTGTCGCATCCCTGGGTGCCGTTTTGGGGTCAGCTCCGACTTGCTGAGCCTTCCCCCCCAGCCCCAACCCACCCCCCCCCCCCCCACCTCCTTAGCTCTGCCCACAAACGGGTGATGCTTCGCGTGCCGAATGGGAAAGCTTTGGGCTCAAGAGACCTTAAAAAACCATCCCATCCCCACCCTCCGGGGCCTTCCGAAATGCCCAGCTCCCCGGCCGCCCCCGCGTACCGGTGCAGACGCCGGCGGAGCAAAGCCAGCGCCGTTCCCAGCTGCCATCAGAGCCGCCTCGGTGACTCAGCAGCCGTGCTGAAAGCTCCCTTATTTATTTAAACGGCTGCTCCCGCTCCACTGAGCATCCCCCCCCCCCCCCCCCCCCCCTCTCCCCGCAGCGATGCTGCCGCTGGGCCGGCTCCGGCCGTGGCTCGGCGAGGAGGAGAACGCTCCCCAGCACCCCGAACCCCCCGGTTTACTCTCGCCGCGATGGCTTTGACTACCTGGGCTCTCGGTCCTGCGCTGCGGCTCTGTGCCGCCGGCCCTGCCTGCTCCTGGGAGATGCTGCACGTGGCCGGAGCCGGTACCTTCTCCCCACTTCGCTTTTTCCCCCGGGGTGCTGGGTTGGATCCCCTCGGGAGGGATGCCGGTGACCTTCAGTGTCATCTTTCTATTTTTTTAAATGCCTTGTGCCAGCCTGGGCTGGAGGAATGCGTTGCAGCTGCGGGGGTTTTGTCCTCGCAGGGCCTGGCGGGGGGGGGGGGGGGGGGGGGGGATGCTGCCAGTCAGTGCCTTGCTCGGGGGGTTGGAGCTGTGGCTGCGGTGCTGGTGCAAGGGTACAAGATCCCTGGGGTCGGGGTGGTGGGTGGTAAAGGAAACCGGTGTCTGGAAGAAGAAATGGCTGGCTGAGACCCTTGTCGGGTAGCCTGGCTGGCTGGTGGGGGGGGTTGTTGCTAGCCCCAGCGTTGGGGTTTGGTGCTGTGAGGGTCTTGGAGGGGGGGGTTGCATAAAGACAGGGTTGGTTTCAGCCCTGGCATCAGGATCAGACTCGGGTTTGTTGCTTTCTGGAGAGCCCTTAGGGGAGGGGAAGTAATCCAAGGAACAATCTTCCTCTTTCCTCAAGGTCCACGTCATTTTTACTCTGCTTTTTTAAGGATTTATGGTCTCCCTGTCTGTGCCTGTGTATGTGCGAGCTGGGCAAAAGCCAGGGGTTTGGGGAAGGAAAGTTTCTCTTGGTTTCATGCAGGCGGAGTAAGAGGGGCCCTTTCAGTGCCCTGCTCCAGGGAGCTCAGCCCTCTTACTAGACATCAGAGAGTCTCACCCGGAGACACTGCGCCGTAGGAGGCCCTGTCCTTATGCTGGGATCCTACCCACCGGTGGTCTGACGTGCTTTGGGTTCCTGCCTTCCCCGTCCAGACCGTGTTCATCCTCCTGCCCCGCGGGACTGAGGGGGCACCCGGGTCCCCCCTCCTGGCAGGAGCTTCGGGTCTTCGTCTCTCTCCCCCTGCTGCTTTCTTTAGGTGAGGCCTTAAAAACCTCCTACTTCTGGAAGATGAGGTCGTGTTAGGTGAGAGGATAAGGCGTGAGATTTAATTATGCAGTTATTATTGATGGGATCCGTGCTGTGTCTGCTCCTCAGCTTCATTCATCAGGACGAGGGTGGTGGATTGGGAGCGCGGCTGAGCTCTTCGCTCCTCTCCCAAGGCTAGGAATGTGCATTAATCCTGCAAATGCTCTAAAGTCATATTTCTGGAGGTGAGATGATTACCGAGGAGGCTGTGGGAGGTGGAGGGGACCTGGCTCCTTGGCTGATGGGGTCGCTGACGGGGAAACTCTCCAGATATTTTGCAGGGAGAGCTCGTGGCCCGTGCTGAGACGCCGGCAGGGACGCATGGCCCGGCAAGGTGAGATCAGTCACGCTGCCTCGGCTGTCCCGGGCGGGGAGAATTTATTAAGAGGATTCAGGAGATCATCAAGTGCTTGTTTGTGTGAATGGCAAACGGGAATTTATTAAGAGGCCAGATTAAAGGTACTTTGGAAGAAGAGCAAAATCGATTGAAGACAGCTGAGGAGAGAGGAGGGAGAGCAGCAGATGCGAGACTTAGAAATAAAATATTGGGTTAGCGGGAAGGCGCGGAGGGGTTTGCAGGGAGAGCACGGGAGGTGGAAGGAGCTCGCTGCTGGGAGTTCTGGGGCTGGGGGACCCCAAAGCAAGAGTCAGCTCTCAGGTGCAAAGCCCTTGGAGCGGCGCTGGGGAGGGTAGCGCGTCCAGCAATCTCTTTTTTTTTTTTTTTTTTTTTTCTTTCCCTTTTTTTTAAATAAACAAACTCTGCAGATATTCATCATCAGCCGGGAGGCAGGGCAGTGCTGGTACAGCTTTACATGGGGGGGGGCGGGGGGGATGTGTCAGGGTGGCCGGTGCTCACGGATGCTGAACTTGCCGGTGCTGCAGCCACCCTCGTGCTTGGGGTGGGGGGGGGAGCACGATGGATGCTCGCGAGCCTGCCCGGACCACCGGCCATCCCCGAGCCGAAGACGGGGAGATCCCTGGCTGCTGCGGAGGGTGTGCTGCGGCCCTGAGAAACAGGATATGGCACAGGGAGAAATACCCAGGTTGCAAATAACCCCTTCCTCCCTCAGCAGCTCCCCGAAAGCGGAGCAGGGGGGGGATCACAGCCACGTTTGGGAGATTTGCCGGCTAGGGATAATTGCTTTGCTCCGAGCTGGGATGAGGCTGATGCTCGCCGTCGCTGGCCTGCGGCGTTGCTGCTGCTGCTGCTGCTGCTGCTGCGAGGGGTTTTGGCTCACGGGGAGGCTGCGCAGGGCACGGCTTGTGCATCAGGGACAAGCTGCTGCTGTCTGTGAGGCCCTTCAGAAAGAGGGGCTGGGTACGGTTGTGTCAGTGTCCGGCGAAACACAGGTCACTTGGTGCCCTCCTCGGGGGAGAGGGACCGTGGTCTGGCAGCCCAAAGGTGGGAGGGCAGTGAAAAAGCGTTGGGTGTTGCTCAACAGCTCAGCTTTGGAGCCGCAAATGCCTTTTGCTTTCACAGCCTTCACAAGGTGCTCTCTGTTTTTCTGTCTTGCCGTCGTCTCCAGCAGCCTGTGCTCTCTTTATCGCTGCTGACTCTGTGGGGAGCGTGGAGCAGGGTGGGAGTGGTTGGAGGAAAGAGCCCTCGGTCGGAGGGCCTGCAAAAGAGGATGTTGTGAGATAGAAAGGCACAGATTTAGGGGAACTTTGGACATCTTGCTCTCTGAGGGCTGCTTTCCGGGGTGAGAAAAGCAGACAACCCTGCAGTCCTACACCAAATGACACTGGTCACCGGCCAATTCCCTGTCTCTCAGCTGCGGTTTTCTTCCCTTGTTTTTTTTTCTGGCTGCGAAACTTTGGGATCTCATCAGCCTGGTGCCCTGTCCTTTTCCCCGGGCGTCCCCACTGAATCCAAGGATATGTTTTCCACCGCAGGCACCTCTACGCAGCCCAGGAGCTGTGGATTTTGTCCCCGCCGACCGGCTCTGTCTCTTCTCTTGCAGGTGTGTGCGGCTGCTGCGGCGCGCTGCGTCCTCGCTACAAAAGACTCGTCGACAACATCTTCCCCGAGGACCCCGAGGTAAACGAGGAGCTGCTTCACACACCAAAGCTCCGGTGCTGCTTGGGTTGCAGGGACGTGGCGTGACCTGCCCCGAAACAGCTCCTGGGAGGCGGGTGATGCTTTTGACCCCCGACCACCGTGCCTGGCGGGTTGGATTTTCCTTTAAAGCCTGTTTGCGAGCGGAAATACAGAAGCAGCTCCTTCGGCCGCATTGGCTTGGAGGGGATCAGACTTCCTTTCCCAAAGGTGCCAGGCAGACGCGGAGGATCAGTGGACAGGAGGATGAAGGACTGAAGGTGTACGTCCTTCGCTTTGCAGGATGAGAAAAACAGCTCCTAAGAGCAGGGGTCTCTTGGGCTCTCAGCCAGGCTTTTGAGCCCAAAAGCTGCTTATGCAGGGAAGCTGGCCCCCCTGCTTGCTGCCTCGCTGAACTGGAGATGGGGGATGCCCTGCCGGCTACTCTTGGAGCATCCCAAATCCGGCCTCTTTGTCTCCTTTTCACAACCAAGATGCGAAGGCAGTGGAAGAAGGGCTCCCGGGTGGGGGTAGCGGGGCCGGGATTACCCGGGGAGGCGGCGAGTGCTGGCTTTGTCATGGTGCTGCCAGAAAAGCTGAACCAGAGAGGAGGCTGCTGCCGAGCCGTGCGGAGAGGAGGGAGCACCTCAGTTTTCCAGGCTGCGGGGGATTGGGGCTGGCAGCTTGGCACGCTTGTGTCGTTTGGCTTCAGTAGCCCAGAGGTGTCGATAGCCCTGTCTGCCCCTGTCCCCCTGGGTGCTGGGGCATTGCGAGGGGCTGGCGAACGGTCCTCGTTGTATTTACGGTGTGGGGTGCTCAATGGAGTGCTTGCACTGGGGTTACCCCTGGCCGTGGCGCATCAGAGAGCCCTTGGCTGAGGTCCGATGCGATCCTCGTTTGCCTTCCCTGGGGTACAAGGCGTGGGGAAGCGCTGGGATGGGACTGGCGTGCTCCAGGCCCCTGGCATCGCTGCTAAGCTTTGCTGCAGAGACTCTCCTGATGTTTGACGGGTCTGGGCGCGAGGCTGTGACCCCCTGCACTGTTCTTTTTCAGGATGGGCTGGTGAAGACCAACATGGAGAAGCTGACATTTTATGCTCTGTCTGCCCCGGAGAAGCTGGATCGCATCGGTGCCTACCTCTCCGAGCGGCTAATCCGAGACGTGAGCCGGCACCGATATGGGTAAGGGCTGGGGGGCTGCTTCAGCCACCCCAGCAGTTTGCGTAACGATGGACCACTAGATAGTGGAGGGGGCTCAGGCAGCGGGTGGGATGTGTGGGGTACGTGGATCCTGCGTGCTCCGGGGGGTGTCTGGAAGCCACGAGCGCGCTGCAGAGAGACCCGAGTGCGTCCTGCCTCCCAAAGGGAGACGCGGGAGCGCGCGGGGATGTGCAGACTCCTTGCAAAGTTGCGAGGGGGCCAGGCGAGCTGGGAGCCACGTGGTGTTTCCCTGGCGCTGTGCTGCCCGTGCTTGAGGAGTCTGGTAGGTGCATGGTGTCTGTCCCCAGCAGCAGGACAGCCATCACCCCTCTGGGCCGTCATCAGGAGCCTGTGGCACTCTCCTGGCTTTTAAAAGCCCACAGTGGCTCTTCCAGATGCCAGATGGAAGCCTGGCTAGGTGTGGGCAAGCAGCTAAACAGGGTGGTCCAGGCTGCAGCTTGCTGGGAGTTATTCAGGACAACGTTGGGTGTGTTGCACCCCATCTCTATTGAGCTATGGTGACGTGGCACAAGGGGGAGCGAGGATGAGGGGCTGGATGGAGATCGCTGCGTTTGCTCTCCCCGACTGACCTGCCTGGTCCTGGCTGGGCCCCATCCCTTCGTCTTCTCTCCCCGCATCACTTCCAGCAAGGCTCTGCCTGGAAATAGCTGACTGCCCTGGTTAGAAACACTGGGGGAGCACGGGAGGGCTCCTTCCCTTTGAAACAGCTCCTGGATTGATCCTTGTTGTCTCGTGAACAAAGTCGTGGCAGACAAACACGACTCAGCTTCGGGGTGTGAACTTCAGCCTGCCTTTTATCCCCGGGGGGGTGGAAGGAAGAGAAGCCAGCAGCCTAAGAAATGTTAAAGTTGGAAAACCTTCAAAGCCTCATCCGCATCACTTGTCATCGGGAGTGACAGGACATTCAAAGCTCTGCCTGATGTTCTGTGGTTAAGCTGCTGTTAACAGGCTCTGCTTGCTATGTTGGGAAAAGAAAGGCTTTCAAAGATTTTTGACATCTAATGACAAGCCTCGGCGGGTGGGGTGGGGAATTTATTCCTTCCTCCGCCGCCTGTGCGTACAAGCACGTAAGTGGGTTGGAGCACTAGCCAATTTTCAAAGTCTTAACTTTGAAAGGCCTGAAATGGGTTTGGATCGACCTTTCGTTTGTAGGCCGGTGTTGGCGGGAGAGGAAGGATTTGCCCGGCTGCAGACGCGCAGCCGGGCTTTGAAAGAGCAGCCGAGCACATAGGTACCCGTCTCCTGCATGTGAGGGGGAGGTAGCCTTGATTTCTGGCCCGTTGGGTGTCATCTTTTTGTTCCCTTTATCGCTGAAAGGAGAAAGCGCTCCTGTCCGGGTTTGCAACAGTGCAAACCACCATCTGCAAGAGAATGGTTGGGGAAGGTCGGAGGTGAGAAGCCTCCAAATGTCCCTTTTCCCTCTTGGTGGCCCGTGTCCAGTTGTCCCCAAAAGAGAAGCCGTGCCGTCGCAATAATATTGGCACAGAATGTTGTTTTCAGCCTTGTGTCCTACGAGAAAGGAGCCTGACGCTTCATGCTGGTCGTCAGTCACCTCTTCATACCCTTTTTTTCCCTCTGGGCCAGTTTTAACCCGGTTTGACAGATGGGTAGGAGCCTCACAGATCAGAAGTAGTTGGCTGCTTATTTTCATAGTACCTGGAAGAGCTGTAATGGTGTCTGAAGGACAGGCTGCCCCGTGATGCCAACCACATTAGAGGACACCGGAGAATCTACTCGAGACTGGAGCCAGATTTCAGCAGTTCTGGGGCCTCGGGATTGGGGATTGATCTGGCTGGGTTTTACCAGCTGGAACCTGGAAATCCAGGGTTTATCAGACGCCGCCTTTTCCCCTGCACTTGAACGTGCAGGCAGGGCTGGTGCACGTAGATGGGCAGCTCCTGCCCCCCCTCGCTGCGGGCAAGCTCGGTGCTTTTGGGTTTCCTTCTTGCAGCACAAGCTGGTGGCAGCTGCATGCCACCCGGACTGCGAATTTACCTGTGCAAGGAGGAGGCTCGAAAGGAAGTTAAAGGAGGAATTGTGCTCAATGTCAAGAGATCTGGGCTTGCCGCTTCCTTCTTTCGGCCGTGGCAGATCTGGGCTCTATGTGAGCTGCTGCGGTACAAAGATTCCCAGCTGCACGGAGAGCAGGAGTCAAAGGGAGGTGATAAAGAGCTGTAAAGTTTGTTTTACTCCCAGTGTCCTGGTGTGAGGTCCGCGTCAGCAGTTTGGGTACCTCAGAGGACCCGCGAGAAGAGCTGGAGCTGTGAGACTCGGTGCAATCAGCATTTGGGTTTCTATTGTGTTTTGAGTTACTCCGGCTGGAATAAATGTCTGCTCGGAGCAGTCAGAGGCTGGGGTTTGCTTCTCTGCTGGGCTTTGTGCGTGCAGTGGGCGACCAGCAACCGGAGGTCAGTGTGGTCTTTGCACAAGCCCCCGTGCAGGGGCTCTGGCCATCACATTGGCAACGGAACCAGCTGCTGTTGATGCAGAAAGAGCCACAGGGCCAGCCTGCTAGCAGACTTCTCCAGAGCCACTCAGAGCAACTGGTCCCATTGGTCTTGGAAATGTGAAGGGACACCCGACAAACTCTTCGGCTGCAGCGTAGTGAGCTGGCCACCTCTGTCACCGGCACCCGACTGAGATTCATCTCTGGGCATGAGGTTTTCCAGCTTCCTCTCGGGGGCAGGAGCTTCACAGGACTGGTTTAATAGCCTGGAAGATGCGCTGTGGCAGCTGTGGGTGAGGTCAGCCTGGTCGGGAGGGATGGGACGTGCTGGGGGAGGTCCCCTGCGTGGCCCAGGGTGCGTGTCCCCTCTTGCTGCTGTGTTTGAATCAAGTTCTGGGCTTCCCCTGTCCCTCTTCGGCACTCAGAGCCAAGACTTGAGTGACTGAGCCCCATCCCTGGAGGGATGGGGGACGAGGTAATCCTGGTGTGGGCAAGGCTGCATCCTGCTCTGTGCAGTGCTGGAGGAAACCCTGCTCGCCCCGGGTTGCTTTATTGTCTAAGCACAGCTTTTCTGGAGCACGTCAGTCTCATTCTGTGTTCTCGTCCTGTCCCTCCTCCCTGGCCAGGACCAGCTGGGTCTGCAAGAATGGTTGCCCGTGATGCTGAGCCCACCCTGTACAAAGCCCAGTGCTCCCTCGTGCGATAGAAAGACCAGTTCAGGGCAAGGAAAGCCCACAAGCAGTGTTGGGGGAGATGCAAGGCGTCGCTGGCAGCCTTGGTCCTGGGGCAGCTGGCCCTTCGGTAGGAGGAGAGATGCTGGGAGCAGCAAACACCATCTAAAAATATCCCAAGGGTGTTTTGGGTGTAAAATATTTCTCCTTGGGTTGGCCAAGGGCAGGAGGTTGGCGTTTTCCTGGGGGGCGCCCGGGTGGTCTGGGAGAGGGGAGGAGGAGGGAAGGCCCCCAGCCCGTGCTGCTGGCGGGGAGTCACCCTGGCCTCTGCCCGCTCCCCAGGTACGTCTGTATTGCCATGGAGGCCCTGGACCAGCTCCTCATGGCCTGCCACTGCCAGAGCATCAACCTCTTCGTGGAGAGCTTCCTGAAGATGGTGGCGAAGCTGCTGGAGTCAGAGAAACCCAACCTGCAGATCCTGGGGACTAACTCGGTGAGTAGGAGTGCGGCGGGGAGGCGGCAGCACCCCGCTCGCCCTGTCCTCTGCTTTCCACCCTGCCTGTCACCCCCCACGTCTCTGCGCAGTGCCCGGGCAGCGAACCTTGTTGGGAAAGGATGGGGAGTAGCCACAGGGATGGATTTACGCTGTCCCCTCTCACGTTCTGCCACGCCTGAGGCTTCTGAGACCTCGGCTGTGCTGCCTGTGCGCCGTCCCTGCCGTTCGCTGTCTGTGACCAGTCGCTGGCTTCTGATTTCTGCTGCCATGCCTTCCCTCTCTCAAATTCAGCTTGGCCTAAACAAGCCCGAGGACACGGGAGCTGTCAGCGGTTTCGGACAATAGACCAACGTAGGAGGTGATGATCCCCATGGATTTTGGGAGCTATTTGTGCTCGGAAAAAGGCTGACTTAAATAGGGCTGCTGCTTGCAATAAATGGCTTAGCTGGACCGGGGATGCGTCGGTCGCAGACATAAAGTGAGGGGAAGGGAGAGGCAGGGGCGAAAAAAAGGTGACGTCCTCCCAGCATCCAAACTGCTGATCCCAGCTGGCAGCCAGCAGCCACTTATGCGTGGCCTTTCTGCTGGTTTTCACTGGGAACACTGGGTGTACCTAACACCCAGGCTTGCGAGGGCTCTGCCAGTGCCTGGTAGCTTGGCTTGGACAAGCAGCATCTGTCCTCGCTGCTTTTTAAAAGCAGGATTTAGATGGAGCTGACCGTCCCGCGGGCAGGAGGGAGATGCTCTCTCGAGTGCCCGAGAGACACACGGCCACCTCAGCCCTAAGCTTTAATTCTTTGCTGCGCGTGTCAGGGAGAGGGACAGCATTAATGTCTCTGCAGATGCCTCCCGGCCAGGGTAGCAGCGTTCCAGGAGCTGGCACGGTGCTGGACACGGGGTTGTAAATGCCTCCCGGTGAGGCATGGGCAGTGGAGCAGAGCCCTTTCACACCCCGTTTCTCCCTGGCAGCTAATTGTGCCCAGCTGAAAGCGATGCGAGCCGCCCATCAGCAAAGCTATTAAGCCACAGCCCTTAGAGAAATGGGAGGATGGATCCCTGGGTTGAAAAACCTCCGCGGACAGCAGCTCGCCGTGGCGTTTCGGTGCCTTGGGTGTGCTGCACTGACTGCCTGGGGAAGCCCCTTGCACTGGGAGCAGGGTCTCTGCACCCACATCCCACTGCCCAAGGGTGGCTCAAACTCCACGGGAGACCGGAGAGATGCCACTTGCCGTCCAAACTTCTTGAGATGGGCAGGAGCTGCCGGGATCCGTCCTGGTAACAAGCAGCTGGGTCTCTTGCTAAGAAAGCACGCTGTGTTGCGGTGCAGCCCTGCCCACAGACGGATGCAATATATCCCCTTACCCAGCCCCTGAGCTGTTTGAGAAATGCAGGGCTCATCCCAGGGGCCGGGAGGGACCTGGGGTGGAGATAAGGGAGCAACCCTCCGGTGTTTAGGCACGAGTGGGGAGGAGAGATGCGCCAGGGCCATGGTTGGGGGTTTCCTAAGAGCTGCTGTCGCTGCGGTCTGGAATGAGGAGCAGGTGTGTTAATGAGGAGTCCAAATCAGGAATGATGGTTTAGTGATGTTGGGATTTTTTGGTTTGTTTTTTGGGGTTTTGGTTTTGTTGTTTTGTTGGTTTTTTTTTTTTTCCTTTCTGAAGCGTGGCAGCATTCAGAGGGCAAATAGCACGGGAAAACTTGTGGGCCTTTATAGAAAAGTGAGTAACGATAATGAGACACTTCTTCCTATATCTGCTAATGAGGAATGTGCCTCAGGCTCGCGCTTAATTAGAGGGTGCTGTCTCAAGCAATCTTCACAATAATGGAGCTGATGGCAAAGGCGGGAGGAGGTTGTTTATAGAAACCTGCTCCAAGTGAGTCATTCTGCGCGGCGTGAAATCGCGCCTGAGCCGCGGCTCCCTCCTGGCAGAGCCGAGGTGTCGCGCTGCGGAGGGGCTGATCCCGAGGACCAGCCCCCCGGGCTCCACGGCCGCAGCCAAAATCCAGCGTCCCCGGGATCGCTGTAACCCCATCCTGTAATCCCCGGCGGGGTGAACATACGGAGCTGCGGCTTCAATCCACTTTGGTTTCTCATCCTTGTTAGGCAGCTGCTGGGCAACCTCCCCGGTTCGGGTAGAAACCATCTAATTTCCAGCTCGATGTCACTCCCGTTTTATTTTTCCTCAGAACCGACACTGATCTCTCGTTTAAACAGCTCTTCCCCCGCCTTGATGTTCCTCTTCTGATGTATTTATGTCTGATGTATTTATAGGTGGCAGTGTTATCCCTTCCCAGCCGTTGTTTATCTTCTCCAAGGCAGCCACGCTCCTCGCGTTTCCCCTGCGCTTGCTCCCTGCTCATCCCAGCCGTGTTTCGGGTAGAGCTTGTGAGCCTCAAGCACGGGAGCCCCAGGCTGCCTAGCCCCTCACCCCTCCAATCCACAGCAGCAATGGCCTTGCCTTTCAGGGTTTCAAACCATTTTCTCGGTGGAAATACGGCGCGAAGCTGCAGAGCAGCTCCTCGGCTGGGAGGCAGCGCCCGTTAGCGAAAATAAATCGCTTTCCCTAAAGGATTGATTCCTCCTTTCCTGCCAGCTCAGCTCTCGCTGGGTCATTTCCATGTGTCCCGGTGCTGCTTTTTGCCGTTGAGGACAGGTTGGCAGCGGGACCGGGGTGGGCACCTCCCGTAATTGCTGCGTGGCACAGCACCCTTGTAGGGACAGCCAGGTCTTGGAAACACGCAACAGTCTGTGAGCAAGTGGCAGAATCCTAAAAATGTCCCATAGACGGGGGAGACAGAGGCTGCGAGGCTGATTTTTTTTTTTTTTTTTTTTTTACCTCTTCCTGGCTGCTTTTTTTACAAGTTCTGGCCCTGCTGGAGGCTGCAGGCTAAAAATAGGTGCGGAGAGGGCAGCTGCCTCCAGCTGCTGGCAGATGTGAACGCTGTCCCGCATCGGTGCAGGGTGGGGGGGGATGTGTGTGACAGAGGTGGGCAGGGCTCGCTGTGCCTGGCAGCCCGGGGCCGGGTTAGGGTTAGGGGCCAGAGAAGCTGCCCTCGGGGCAGGGAGCTGAACCACGGGTGCTGCTGGCTCGGGTGGGTGGGCTGGCGATCCCCCCCCGGGGACCGCGACAGCTTCAGAATTAGGAGCGCTGCTGAGGGGGTCCCGTTCGGTTGGCACGAAAGGAGCTGCCATCCTTCCGCGTGGCTGTGGGGTCGGTACCTGCGGGTACTGGCTGCAGAGAAGCCGTTTCCTTCCTTTCTTTCACGAGGTTTTTTTTTTTTTTTTGGCCTGGGGACGGCTCCCCGGGAGCTGCCGCGGGGAGCCCCGCTCCTGCCCCTCGCTCTGCAGCCTGCCCTCACCTCCGCTTGCACGTGGAGTTGCCATGAGCTTAAAAAAACCCCCCCTCGCTTTGTGCGCTGCCTGGTACAGAGGTTTCTTACATAACAGCCCTGCATTTTTCTGGTGAGTAAGAGGAGTTTATCAGTTGGAGCCGGTCCCTGCACTCTGGGAACAGTTCCTGGCGGGGCTGAGCCGGCTCCTTCGCTTGCGCAGAGCCAGTCTTTGCAGCTGATGTTATTAATAGCCCGGCGCAGCGGGTGCGTGCTAATCAGCACCCGTGTGATGCGCTGGGACGGGCGAGCTGGCTTTGCCAGCTGTGGAAGGGCACCGGGTGTGCCGCTTGCCTGCCCCTCTCCTCGCGGGGCTGGAGGGCAGCAAATGCAGAAAGCAAGAAGGGAGAAAAGCCTGCGGATAAGGTTGGGGTGGAGAAGGAGCTCCCGTGCAGCGTGGCATCTCCAGAGGGTGCTGAGCACCCTGACAAATGCTGGGTGGACAGGTAACCCCCCTTGGGGATGTAGGTTTGCTCCTTCCAGCTGGAGGAGGAACCCGGCGGTCCCGATGCCTTGGCCCAGGACAGCTTGTCCGAGTGATGTGGGATTGCTCAGTGTGACCCCAGAGCTTCACGCCACGCTCTTGGAAGCAGTGGGGCTGCACCAGCATCGTTGCTCTCCTGATTTTGTTGAGTAGCAGTTAATAGCTGGGGTGGTTTGGCAGGGGGGTTGCTTGGACGGGGAGCGTCCTCCCCCTTCATCGCGTGCCCATGCAAATGGCCTCAGCTCTCCCGGTGTGCTGAAGCGGGTGCAGCGCAGGAGCACAAAAGCAGCCAGCAGATTTCTCCGCCTAAAATCTTGGCAAGCAGCGGCGTCTGCCCTTGGTCTGAGCGGGAGGATGAAGCACGGGGACTTGTTGGCACGATGCCTGTCCCAGGCCAAGGATAAACCTCGTCCGTTTGAAGCACTAGGTGCTGTTGGGTGGATACAGGCTGAATGCTCTGGATGTTCCAGCCAGGAGCTTATGCCTTGGGTTTTGTGGCAGCCCTTGTGCTCTTGAGGTTTTATTTATCTTCCCCGTTTTTAAAGCTAGCCCTGTCAGCCCAACCGGATGAGCTGAGGTTCCCCTTTCCTGCCCGACCCTTTGTTCCCATCTTCTTATGAATAAGTTTCAAATTCAGAGAAAAGCTTGAAAACCCGTTTACCCTTTCTTCCTCCTTCATTCTCTCCCTGAAAGCTTAAAAGCCAGATCTGGTGGTCAGCTGGCATTTCTGGCAAGCTCCCTGCTTGTCGGCACGGCCGCGCTGGGAGGGAGCGACGGGACCTCGTGCTGTCGGGTGCTGCGAGCGAGAGGGGGGATGAGGTTAAAAACCCGCCCGCGCTTGGTTTCTCCACTGGCATTTCCAAGGCTGTTTTCACCCCTGCAGCAGCGGCTGGGAAACGCTGGCTGGGTTTTGTGCCGGCTGGGAGGATGGAAAGAAACCGGGGGCGAATTTATCTCCTGTTACTAGTGTGCGCTGCATGCTAGGGATACCGAAGCGGGGGGCTTGTTGCACCCCCTAAAAGCCCTTTGCAAGGGACCGCTGGGGCTTGAGGTGAGGTTTGCAGCATCCACGGCCGGGCCCGGGTGCTGCTGGAGCTCGGTGGGGCTGTGGGGTCCCGCGTGGGGACCCCCGTGCCCTGGGTGCCAGCTGGGCAGCCCGTTTTGGCATCCCGAGCACACACTGAGCTGCTGTAGTGAAGAGCCCTGAAGCCCACAGATGTTTGCTGGTTCGGAGAGGAATTTTTTAAGAATAGCTTTGTTGTCGTGCCCTCTGGGCTGACCCCCCCCCCCCGCGCCCCGGCCCTGCTCCCACCACTCTTTTTTTTTTTTTTCCCCTCTCCCAGTTCGTCAAGTTTGCCAACATCGAAGAGGACACCCCGTCTTACCACCGCAGCTACGACTTCTTTGTCTCCCGCTTCAGCGAGATGTGCCACTCCAGCCACGATGACCTCGACGTCCGGACGAAGTGGGTGCTGCGAGCGGGGTGGCCCTGGCCCCGACGGTGGGGGACACCCCCCATCCTTCCCCTCCCCGTCCTGGGGAAGCGCCTGCGTTTGGGGACAGGTTGGGTACACAGGCTGCACCGACTGCCTGCCTCGTGCTGTGATGGAGGTGCACGGCTGATTCCCCAGAACTGGGTGCGCTCAGGCGGCTGCTCTCTACCCTCCCTTATTTTTCAAGCATTAAACCCGGGCGACTATGTTGGGGGGAGAAAACAGGAGCCTAAAAAAACACGACACAGCCCATGCCCAACCTCTCTTGCTGTGGGGGTGTTACATGTGTGTGAGACGGGTTGATTTGCATTTGCTGTGCTCACTCTGACCACAGCAGATGACAGGGCAAGGGGCAAACGTGCCCACGGGCTTCCAGCTTCTTTTCCCTGGCCAAAATGCCAGCAGGTAACGCCTGCAGTCACAGGGGCTCCCTCTGAGATGGGTTTCCCACCTTTGCTCCAGGGCCACAGCCCGCAGACGGCTGCGCCTCAGAGCAGAAGGTAAGAAAGTTATCCTGGCCCCAAAAAGAAAGACGATGATGATGGGAAGAGGGCCCCTCTGCTTTTAGCAGAATGAATGCTCTCTCAAAAACTGCCTCCCGCAGCCCCGCGGTCAGTTATTTTCCACGTCCGAAGGTGGTTACATCTCTCTCGGCAGCGCCTTGCTCCGTCGCGATGGGAAATGTGCCCCCCACCGCCCCTCCCCGGGGGGATTAATTACGCCTAGAGCAGACAGATTAATGTTGCTGACTGCTGCCAAGGCCAGGCCTGTCGGTGGGGGTATTTAAATAAGACTTGAAATGGCCCCCCCGCGAGGCGCCGACGGTGCGGTACCCGCGGCTCTCGCCGGGAAGCTCCGGGCAGGAGGTCGCCCCTGCCCGAAAATGAGTTTTAAGCAGAGCCCAGATGTCAGGCAGCGTTTGAGCACGTCGTGTGGATGCCGGAGCTGCTGTGCCGGGTGCCTGGCGGAGGGGTTCACCCCCGAGGTTTGCCGTTCCTCGTGGAGGCTTGTTTCCAAGGACCGCGCTTGCCTCCTTTTAACACTGCAGGCTCACAGGTTGTTTTTATTTCTTTAATAAGGAAATAATGCAGAAGGCTCATTATTTTTCACTTAACCTTCAGGGCACCAGTGGCGCTGGCTAAACTGCATCGGAGACCGGGAGAGAGAAATTCTGCAGTTCCTTTAATTAAAAAGGAGCGCGCTGCTTTCCTGGGCCCTCGGTCCTGCTCAAAGCTCCTTCCTCAAGAATTTGTGTCTTGGTCAGATCATTGCCTTGATTAGATCTACAAAACATGTTAGGGAGACCGCAGAGCAGGTTACTTACTGCGTTTATTTTTGCGGATAAGCACGTGCTGCCTTTCTCAGGCAGGAGCGGTGGGTGCTGAGGGGCTGGTTTCAGACCTGGGAATCCCGCTGTGTCGCGAAATTTTTATTGATGACTTTATCAACCAGAGCAGAGTCAGGATCTTTGGACCCTGAAAGGACAGAAGTGTCAAAAAACCGCTTAGGTTTCCCCAGCATCCGGCCTCCCCGTGGGTGCGGCTGGGTTCTGTAGCTGCTGGGAATGGGGGAAGTGGGGAAAACCCTCCGTGGATGCCCCAGCTGGAGAAGGGAGACTTCCCAGGGCCCAAACCAATCCTTTGGAGAGGCCAGTGCCACCTCTCCATCTCGGGTGGTGTGTGCCCTGGAGGTGGGTGGCTGCTGCTCGCCCAGGGGCCTCCTGGAAAAAGTGCTGGTGGCTGAGAGCTGGCTGCTGCTGCTGCCAGGATGATTTTTGGAGCCTTTCCTGCTCGTGTCTGTCGGGCTGCAGGGAGATGGATCACTCGGGGACGCGAGGCAGGAGGATTGCCCTGGAGGATAGCACGCCTGGAGCTGGGATTGAGAGCAGCCCCAAGGAGAGGGGCTGGGGGGGGGTTGGTGGGGGGAAAACTGCCCGTGAGCCAGCACCGTGCGCTGGCAGCCCAGAACCCACCCGTGCCCTGGGCTGCAGCCAGAGCAGGGGGGGCAGCAGGGCCAGGGAGGGGATTCTCCCCCTCTGCTCAGCTTTGGGGAGACCCCCCTGCGGTGCCGGGGCCAGCTCGGGGGCCCCCAACAGCAGAAGGACACGGAGCTGCTCGAGCGGGGCCAGAGGAGGCCACGGAGATGCTGGGGGGGCTGGAGCAGCTCCCCTGGGGGGCCGGGCTGAGAGAGTTGGGGGGGTTCAGCCTGGAGAAGAGAAGGCTCCGGGGAGCCCTTCGAGCGGCCTCCCAGGGCTTAAAGGGGGGACAGGAGAGGTGGGGGGGGACTCTGGGTCAGGGGGTGTGGGTAGGATGAGGGGGGATGGGTTTAAACTGAAAAAGGGTAGATTTGCATTAGATGTAAGGCAGAAATTCCTCCCTGTGCGGGGGGTGAGGCGCTGGCCCAGGGTGCCCAGAGCAGCTGTGGCTGCCCCCTCCCTGGAAGGGTTCAAGGCCAGGTTGGACGGGGCTGGGAGCCCCCTGGGCTGGGGGAAGGGGGCCCTGCCCAGGGCAGGGGGTTGGAACTAGTTGATCTTCAAAGGTCCCTTCCCACCCAGACCAATCTGTGATTCTCTAACTGGGGCATCGCCTGCACAAACCCCTCCAGCAGCACAGAAATCAGTTATTTCTCTCCAACTTTTTCAGTTTCACCTGCATATATACGTGTATGTAAACGTCGACTAATGCATGATCTGTAGCGTTCTGATGTCAATTTGTTCCCCAGGATCCGGATGTCTGGCATTAAAGGCCTGCAAGGAGTCGTGAGGAAGACGGTGAACGATGAACTCCAGGCCAACATCTGGGACCCACAGCACATGGACAAAATCGTGCCCTCGCTGCTCTTCAACTTACAGCACGTGGAGGAGGCTGAAAGGTGGGCGCTGCCATCACCCACCTTCTCCGCCAGCGGCTTCGGGGCCCCGGAGCTGCTTTTGCCAAGGTTTTGCAGCGTGGAAGGGTTGCAGGCTGATTTGTGTCTGCAGCTCGTGGAAAATGGACCGAGTGGCCGGAGGGGAAAATCCTGTGGGTACCTGGCTGAGGATGCTCCAGGTGGCAGGAGCTCTGCACGTCACCCGGTGCAATGAAAGTTCTTGCTATCCCGGCCGCTGCAGGATAGTTCGCAAAGGCTCGGAGCTGCCTTTTCAGTGGGCTGACCCCTGCGAGGGATTCCTGCTTAAATGTTACCAAAGCAGTTATTTTAAAGCCGGGCAAGAGGAGTCTCAGGAGCTGAAATACGGCTTTGCTCGCTGACCCTCCATTCTTCCAGCATAACCCCCCGCCGGCTGCGTGCTTGCCTCCAGCTGGGTGCTTGAAGGGGAGTCGCTTAGCTGAGAAGCAGAGAGAAGGGAAGCAGGCATGAATTCCTCCTGGGATTTTCCTTTTGAAGGTTGAGAGAGATGTATCAGCCCTGAGAAAGCCGGCTTCTGGCCAGATGTCTTTTCCCTCTAAACTGAAGCATCGAGGTGATAACAAGCCCTCGTGGTGTTTGTGTGATACCAGACGAGTCTGAGTGTGGGAAAAAAAAGGGGGATGGATCTCTGGGGTGTGCGTGTTCAGGGTGACTGCTTTGCTCTTCCTCCCCTGGGAAGCTGTGTCCCCCCTGGGAGGAGGTTACGTCCTCCGTCCTCACCGAACAGACCCTTCCCCCTCCGGCGCTGAGCACGGCGCTGGTTCTCCCGGTCCCAGGGACCGTCCCTGCTGCCTGGCACAAGCTGGCACCCCAAGCGGGGCCGTTCCTCTGCAATCCGTGCACCCGTGCTGCTCTCTGACCTGGCTCAAGCCCAGCGGCACTGGGGCTGGGATGGAGCCACCCCGTCTGCCTGGCGGGGTGACCTCCGGCTGTTGCGGGGTGGCCGTGGGCCGTGCGAGGGGCCCTGTGCAGCCCGGGCTGCTGGTCGATGCCGCGACCGCTTTTGCTCCAACCTTCCCTGGCTGGGTTCCGTGCCTCCTTCTCCCCCCCCCCGGCTGCTGTCGCACGCTCAGCGCCGCTCTCATCGCCCTCCTCTGCTTTCGCAGCCGCTCCCCCTCTCCGCTTCAAGCCACCGAGAAGGAGAAGGAGAGTCCCACGGAGCTGGCGGAAAGGTGTCTGCGGGAGCTGCTGGGCCGAGCGGCGTACGGCAACATCAAGAACGCCATCAAGCCCGTCCTCATGTAAGTCGTGCACCCCTCACTTTTGGCACAAGGGAAACTGAGGCAGGGGGGGGGAGATGGCCAACGCGGGCCCGAGCTGGGGCGAAGGCGTGGGCTCCCCTCAGCGTGCTACGGGAGGCGGGGACTGGGTTTTGGGCCGAGCTCTCCTTTTTGGATGCGATGAGGAAGGTGGCAGGGGACAGATACCTGTCGCTGAGAAAAATCACCCTGGAGAGGAGTTTGTGTCCCTGCCCTCACCTGCGGTGTTCGCTCCCTGCTGCTTCCCCGGTGCTTGGTGCTGCTTTGCACCCTTCCAGGCTTTGGGGGACCAACAGTTACTTTCCCCTCTGTTTCCACCTCTTCCCCAGCCACCTGGATAACCACTCGCTCTGGGAGCCGAAGATCTTTGCCACGTGCTGCTTCAGGATCATCATGTACTCTATCCAGGTGAGGAGCTGGCGGGACCCCGGCCGGCGGCATCATTTGGGGACGCCCGTGCGGCATCATTTGGGGAGCACCCCCTCCGTCTGCCCCCACGGCTGGGCTGAGTCAGAGCCACCACCGCGTTGCCGCATCCCGGCGAGGGAGCTCGGCCGCCAAGAATGCCCCAAAAAGGGCTGGAGACAGGGGCGCAGCCCGGGGGGGGGGCGGGCTGGTGGCCCCACGGGACGCGGGGACGTGTCTGCTAGGCTGCGTGCCAGCCGTGTGTGTTTTACCACCTGCTCGTGGAGCTTGTAGCTCCGTCCCGGGGAGCGATTCCCACCCTCTCGGCGGAAAGCAAAGCCCTGCTGAATCAGGCGGGCTAGCGGCGTGCTGCGAAACGCTCCCAGGGAAGCGGTTGGGCTCCCGTGGAAAGCTGCCTCTCTCCAGATTGCTGCCGTGCAGATCAACCCCGGCTCCCTCCTCCCTGCAGAAAAGGAAGAGGGGCTGTCAGGGGTGAAACGTGCCCCGGGGCAAACCAGGAGTTGAGGCAGCGCCTGCAGCCCAGCATCCCCGTCCTTAGACGTGGGGATGCTCAGAAACAGACCCTGCCAGGCTCTTCCCTTCTCGCTGGGCGCCATGGAAATGCAGTTTAGGTGAACCCCAAAGTAATGGGAAAAGGTCCATCCTTTCTTCCTCCACGTGGATCTCAACGAAATGCTGTTTGCACGGCGCTCTGCCTGCTGTGGGGCACGGTGCTGCCTTCCCACCCTGCTCCCACTCTGCTGGGGCTGTCCCAGACCTGCTGCCCCACTTCACCCCTTTTGGGGAGTTTGCTTTGCTTTTGGACTCAGCCAAGCCATGGCTCTGCTCGGAGAGCTCTTACAGCGAAAAGCAAATCACCGCCCCTTGCTCTCGTTTCTTGTTTTTAATCCTGTAAACTGCCTAAAACCCTTTGCAGTGCTACTGGATTCTGTAAAATCCTGTTAATGCATATTGGAAGTGTAAGGTCACAATAACTCAGCAGGACCCTTTTGCAGTACAGACGTGTTTGAGAAACTCTGGCAAAAATTAAATCTTTTCACCCTGAAGTCCCCAGGGTTAACTGTCACAGTTTCCTTAGATCTGTGCAGCTCTTTAGATCATTTTTTCCCATGCAAATTGCTCCAAGCTCTGGCTCAGTCGTGTAAAACAGGCTTCCTCCAGGTGCCTCGCTCTGGTTTTCCCATCTGGAGCTGTCTTGGAGAGAGCCAGGCAGGGACTTGGTGCAGCTGGGCACACGTGCCGGCTTCGTTCCCGGGGTAGCCGTGCGGCTTACAGCAAGGGGCTGTCACCTCCTGCGGGCAGCACCCACGCTGACGTTCGCGCTGCCTTTCCAGCCGCAGCACTCCCATCTCGTGATCCAGCAGCTCCTGGGGCACCTGGATGCCAACAGCAAGAGTGCGGCCACCGTGCGGGCGGGCATCGTGGAGGTCCTCTCGGAGGCAGCGGTGATCGCAGCCTCCGGGTCTGTTGGTCAGTGGATAAATTTTTCCTCTCCGCCCGTCTCTTCGCCCTTTTTGTGGCGGTGGGAATGGGGAAGAGGTGCTGGGGGTTTGGGCCGGGCTCTGGCGCGTGAGCTGGGGGGCGGGGTGGGGGTGTGGATCCAGTCTGGAGCACCCAAGGGTGCTGGGGGATCTGTTCCGTGCCGTTTCGGTGCTCCCGAACGCGCCGCCCATGCCTGCGTGCAGCGAGCCAAACAGGCTGAACGCAATGCCTGCTTTTGCCTTCGTGGCAGGGGGGAAAGAGATTTTCAGGGCCTTGCTGCGAATGTGCCGGGCGGATGGTGCTCCTGGAAGGACGTTTCTCTCTGAGGGAACTGGTGGGGGGCTAAAAAGTCACCGTGTGTCTGGCCAAACTGTTTTTCAACCTGCTTATGGGGTGGTGGGAGGTATAAACCACGCTGTCCTGGGGGGAAACTACAGCCCCCCCGCCGTCTCCACGGGGAAAACGGCCGTTCTCCTCTGGTGATGGTCCACCGTGTCCTCCCCAGGCCCCACGGTGCTGGAGGTTTTTAACACCCTGCTGAGGCAGCTGCGGCTCAGCATTGACTACGCGCTGACGGGGAGCTACGACTGCGCCGCCGGCGTCAGCACCAAGATCATCAAGGAGCACGAGGAGAGGATGTTCCAGGAGGCCGTCATTAAAACCATAGGTGGGGTATCCTGTGCTGGCGGGTGGGTTTCTGCCTCGGTGCGTCCGCTGGATTGCTCAGGGCGAGACCAAAGTCGCCCTCGTCCTCAAAGTGGATTTAGCGGCTGCGAGCGCGGCGGCGGGTTATCGGCAGGTGGCATTGCAACCCCAGCCGTCCCCCAGCAGAGCTGCTGCATGCAGGGGGGAAAATCATTGTTTCTCCCTGGGTAGGAGACCCTGAGGAAGGGAAGGAGAAGGGGGAAAGAGGGCGGGAGTTATCCTGCTGCAGCCGCTGAGGATGGAGATGCACCAGCCCTGAAAAAGGAAAGGCTTAGAGGCAGGGGTTGGCATCTCCGGGCATGGGGCTGCCCGACCTGGGAGGTGTTTCGGTGGGTCTTGAATACGTGGGTCTGAAGGTAAAGCTGCTTGTGGGCGCTGGATCCAGGCGGGCTTTGTTCCTATCCCACCCTGGCTGCGGGGGTCCAGCAGCCAGCTTGGTGACCCCCACGGCACCGGGCGCTTTGTGGGGGGCGGTGGGCTGCGCCTCGCGCGCTGCCAGCTCACTCCTCCTCTCTCCCCCGCAGGGTCCTTCTCCAGCACGCTGCCCACCTACCAGCAGTCTGAGGTGATGGTCTTCATCATGAACAAGGTGCCGCTCCCCTCCTCGCAGCAGTCCATCGAGGCTGGCAAAGCTGGGTGAGAATGGATGCCTTCCTCCCTCCTCATCCTCCCCCCCTGCCCTGCTCTCCCTGCTGCTGGGGTGTGTGTGTGTGTGGGGGGGGGGGGGGTCTTGTAAGGCTTTGAACACAGAGCTGAAAGCTCTGGGACCACCTTGAGGTGGTTTTGGGGGGGGGGGCAGAGTGGGACGTGGGCACGTTATCAGGAAGGCCGAGCCTCGAGAGCTTCCACCGAAGAGCAAGGGAGGCCGAGCAACGTGCGATCCTTGTCGAAAATGCTTTGCCGTCTGCTGCAAATGCGATGACAAGGGCCCCTTGAAACACCAGAGCATCAAGGGGGAAAGGTGGTTCCAGGCAAGTGGTGCTGCAGTTGAACTCTGCGTTTCTCCGGGGACCTGCTGAGGGACTCAGCTGTGAGGAGCTCGGGGTGTCGTCCGTAACTAGCCAGGAACTAAAAATAATATTCAAGGGAGTGACTTCAGATGTCTCAGGGCAGCGAGGCGGCTGCTGGTGAGTAAGGGCTGCCCGTGGCTTTTGAGAAGCTCGTGTGTGGCTTCGTGGGACGGGCTGCTCGTCGCTGCGTGGCCCCTCTGAGCTGCCTCCGAGCTTTTATTAACGCTGAGCGGGAGGTGGTATTTATACCCCGGCGGTGGAGGAAGAGAAAGGAAGGGAAACACCCAAACAACATAATTGCTGGAGAAGTGTGGGAACAGACCATGAGAGCTATTTGGAGCGAGGGTATCAGTGCTGAAACATGTAGGTAAGGAGCAAACAGATTTTCATGCTATATTTATCTTCAAAGTACGGTCAGGCTCTTCCCACTTGTCTCTGATGGGAGAGAGACTTTGCCGGCTGATAGGAGACACGCTCTGCTCCTCGCTGACGTTGGGGGGGGGGGGGGGAACTCCTGATACCTGTGTACAGCCCCGATTCACGTGGTGGGAGACACGCTGGGTGCTGGGTGCCGTTCGGCCGGGGCAGCTTTTCCTTGCTGCGGGAGCAGAATGGGGCTCGTAGCCCCAGGGTGGCAGCCACTTCTCAGGGTGAGGCTGGCCGTGCCGGGCTGTTTGTCACTGCTCCTTTATCAGCTTCCTCTGGGAGAGTTTTTTTTTTTTTAAATCTCGCCTGACGCTGCGTAGAAGGATGGCGCTTGCTCCGGGTGTGTAGGTGAGCCAGGAGTTTGCAGAGGAGCTGCAGCCTCACGGGGATGTATTTCAGCCCAAACCAAGACAGGGGACGGTGCCGTTTGTGGTGTAGCTCAGTCCCTGGGCAGAGGTAGGCAGCGTGTCGTGGGACAGCCTGGAAACCCCTCGGGACCCCTCCCTGTGTCCCCCCAGGGCTAGGAAAGGCTGAGTTCAGCCAGTAGAGACGTCAAGATTTCCTCTTTTTTTTTTTTTTTTATTTTTCACAAGATGTGGAAGTGTGGTTCATGATGGCTTTGCGAGGAGCAGGGCTGCCTCCACGGACCGGAGGGCTTGGGCTTCGCCTTGCTAATTTTCAGCTGCTTAAAAGTGAGGAGCCTGCTCAGACCCAGTGCCTGGTGTCTCTCAGGAGTCACTGTGGGATGGGGACATCCAGAGGGTTGGTTCATCGCCCTGAGCTCAGCTTGTGCCTGCCCGGAGATGCGAGGGCTGCCTTGTTTCTGGGTGTATCCATTGGTATTCATCATTCCTTTAGCAGCGTTTTTGCTGGCTGTTAAATCTGGAGCTCGTTTGCCGGAGCCCGTGGCTGTTTGTGGGGGTGGCTCTCGGGGAAACTGATCCTGCCCTTTGAGACTTTTCCATCCCTTGGGTATGGAAGGAGGGTTGTCTTGTTTTCACTTGAATTTTACCCTTTGTTTCCTCTCCCCGTGGCAGGGAGAACAGGAATCGCCTGACACAGATAATGCTCCTGAAGTCCCTCCTCCAGGTATGAACGTGTCACCATCCCCACAGGAGCCTCCGACCCCCACGAGACCCCTGGGGTCCCAGCTGCTGACACGGCAGAGCTGAACTCGGGGACCCTCTCCCCTGGGGTGGTTGAGGGAGAGCTCAGGCTGCATTTAGTCTTCTCTGCTTGCATCCTCTCTTCCTTGCTGTGTTTTAACCCCCTCCCAAAGCGACACGGTCACACTGCCTCCCTTTTTCCTTTGATGCTTGCAGGTCTCTGTGGGCTTCCAGTGCAGTAACATGCTCACGGCACTTCCCAGCGCCTTCCTGGACAGGCTGCTCTCTGCAGCCCTCATGGAGGATGCTGAGATCCGCCTCTTTGTCCTCGAGATCCTCATCAGCTTCATCGATCGCCACGGGAACCGGCAGAAATTCTCCACCATCAGGTACGTCCCCGGGGGCTCCCCAGCAGGGCTGGGACCTGCAGAGCAAGCTTGGGAGGGAGATCTGCTGGGCTGGGAGTGCTGGCAGGATTATTAATAAATCTGGTACAAGTTCTGGGGTGGTTTAGTGTTGCAGATCAGCGGTCTGCTAAGAGCCAGGTGGGTCGGGGGGGGGTCTCCCGGAGAGGCTGTGTCCAGAGGGACGTGGGACCATGCTGCTGAAAGAAACCGTGGCTAGAGAGTGGTCCCGGGAGGGTGTGCAGGAGCAATAACCCCCTCGAGTGGGTTCATCGACTGCATTGCATCCCCATGGGTAGTCCTGTTGGGCACTCGTGATGTCCGTGCTGCGTTACCTTGGGAGAAGGTGACTGTAATCCCAGATGGAAACATCTCCCTGGGTTTTGCTGTGGCCCTGCTAATCCACTTGACTAGCACCCTTCTTTGTCAGCTTGCCTTTGTGCTCCTGAAATCCTGTAGTGATTTGGCTCGGTACCCTCGAATACCTGAATTGCTCAGGTGGGTTTTAAAAGCCACCCTTAGCTTCCCGCCTCTGTTCCTCCGGACAGCTCGTTGCTGCCCAGCAGCTCTGCAGGCGTGTGGGAATCGTGCCTCCTCCCTCCCACGTCTGAGTTTCCCCTTCCCCTTGGCCTTTTCTTGCAGCACCATCAGCGACATCTCGGTCCTGAAGCTGAAAGTGGACAAATGCTCGCGCCAGGACACTGTCTTCATGAAGAAGGTAGTGTCTGAGTCTGGGTTAAGCTGTCTTTGTGCAGACCAGTGTGAGGACTGTTTCCCCAAGTCACACTGAGTCTTGGAGTACCGTGACGCCTCTAAACCCGGGGATGTCCCTGTGAAAAGCCAGCAGGATTCAACCTCCATCAGCACTTCATGCATGAGGCTTTCTAGGCTCCAAAACCTATTTGCCCTAAGGAATGAGTACCCCAGGACGTGCTGGTATCCCAAAAGCTATTTATCAAGTGGATTTTGATGTTTCCTGATTTTATTTATTTTTATTCCCCTGCCCTGCTGCCTCCTTAAAACACTTCCAGGGTGGTGCAAACCCCTCTGGAGCTAACTTGAGGCCGAGGTGAGGTCAGTTTATGACCTTGCACGCACCGGCGAGCAGAAATGCAGACCCTAGACCAAAAACCACCGCAGAGCTGAGTTTCCCTTGCTCCAGCGTGGGCCCTGCTCTGTCCCATGCCTTGCTGTCGAGCAACGTGTGTCAGGGCTTTATTCCTCTGCTGTGGTCTGAGCCATGATTTCTGTAATGCTTCTGCCACAGAAGCACCCTTTCCCTGGGCTTGGTGCTGCAGGAGCTGTTTGCCTGCCCTGGGCTCTGCTTTTGGACCAGTCGGTGCTTTTTCCCCACCAAGTCCCGGCATCAAACGGTGGAACACCACCCGATAGCCACGGCTCCCTCTCCCTGGGGCTTGCTTTGTTTGCTTGATGCCCAGAGGAAGCTCTGCTCCCTCCTGCCTGGATGAAGGCTCCTTTTGCTGGGCCCTGCTGCTCTCCTTTCTCTGCGTTGATGGCCGTGTTGCTCGCAGGGGGATGCTCAGGAGGTGACCGCATCCTTCCGTGTCCCCACAGCACGGCCAGCAGCTCTACCGCCATATCTACCTAATATGCAAGGAGGAGAGCAACGTGCAGGCTCACTACGAGGCTCTCTACAGCCTGCTGATGCTCGTCAGCATCGAGCTGGCCAACGAGGAGGTCGTGGTGGACCTCATCCGCCTGGTGCTGGCAGTGCAGGTAGGCTGGGGGGGGGGGGGGGGGAGCGGGGCGTGCTGCTGGCGCTCAGCACCGCAGGGCGGGCGGGCTGGGAGGCGACGGGAAGGGTCGTTTAGGGGTTGGGGTCGGTGGTTTTGAGTTCCCCGAGGAAGCGGGGTGCAGGCGCTTCGCCTGCCCTCGGCTTCTCCCACCGTAGTGGGATCAGACCAACACGCTGCGGGGGCACCTCGGTCGCCTGGCCGCCGCCTGAAACGCTGCCAAGCCAAGCCCCGAAAGCTGGGCTGTTTGGGGGGGGGGGGGGGGGGGGCGTGTGTGATGCCGTGAGGTGGATGGGGGGACCACCCCGGGGCCTTGTCCATCCTCTTTCTCACGGGGCTGTGTCCCTGCTGCAGGAGATTGCCCAGATCAACGAGGATAACTTGACGGCGTACAACCGCTGCGCGCTCTTCGCCCTCGGTGCAGCTTACCTGAACCTCATCAGCCAGCTCACCACCGTGCCCACCTTCTGCCAGCACATCCATGAGGTGCGAGGGAGGAGCTGGGGGGGGGACGAGGCTGGAGCCTTGTCCAGGGCAGCTCTGGCATCAGCTCCCCTGGCCCCCGGGGGGGGTTTGAGCTCGGCTCTTTCCTTACCCTTCCGCAGGTCATCCAGATGCGACAGAAGGAAGCGCCTTATTTGCTCCCTGAAGATGTGTTTGTGGAGCGACCCAGGTAAAATCCCGGAAAATACCTTCTTCCCCACTACCTGGGGGTTGGCATCCGTAAGATCGGGGGCGATAACGGGTTTATCAGCCCTCCACTTGCCTGCGCTCGTCTCCTTTCTCGTCTGGGGACGGCCCAGGGGGAAGGACATCAAGGGGTTTTCAGCCTGTGCGGAATCTGAGGAGGATCCCGCGCGTGCGGCCGGGGAAAGGGGGTGCCCGCCACAGGGTCGGCTCTGCAGGCTGATCCCTCCCTCCCTCCGGCAGCGGGGTGGGTGCAGACGGGGCAGGTCATCCCGCTGCTCCGCCGTGCCACCGGCCCCGGGGGGTGCCCGCTGCCCGGGGGGCCGCCCCATGCCGCGCACGCTCGGCCCGGCTCACGGTTGGTGCTGAGGTCCCTTGGTTGGTGCTGAGGTCCCTTATGGGGGATATTGCCCCCAGGGAGCTCCACTGCTCTCTTGGGACATCCCCTAGGTCAGGGTGGTCCTTCCTGAGCTCATCTGTAACCGTTGCGGGTCGAAGAGCCCTTCTGGGCCTCCGGCTTTGTGCCGACGTGCGCAGAAACAGCGTGACCTATCCGGCTGTGCTGCATCCAAGCAAAGCCACGAGAACCCTCTGTTTCTGACCCAAAGGGACGGGAAACCCTGCTGGCACGGCTCCCCTAGCAGGAGAGACGCTGTGCCACCCCTCCTTTTTTCTTTTCTTTTTTTTTTTTTTTTTTTTTTTCTCATCTCCATAGGTTGAGCAAGAGCCTTGACCGCCTGGGCCCGGAGGTTTTCTTCTGGCAGAGCAAAATCAGCGAGGTGCTGGGCGGCAGCGGCTACAACTCGGACCGGCTCAGCACACCCTACATCCCCCAGCTGACGGGTACGCGGCACCCTGGGGCATCCCGGAGAACTGGGAAAGGGGGAGGGAAGGAAACTGGTCCTTTGCTCGGCACGGTTACGGGGGGTGCGAAGTTCTGGTCCTACGTTGCGGGCCTGTTGTGTTTCTGCCCTCCTTTAGAGGTGCAGCCTTGGGGAAACTGAGGCACAAAGCAGTCGATCGGGAGCTTCCTGGGGGTGACACACGCATGGCTGGCGGGGTGGAAGGAGCCGAGAAGCCCTCTGGGCTTGGCTCAGCCCTCGGTTCTGCTGTTTTGGGTGAATTTGGGTGGCTGGCTTAGATGGCCTGCTACGCTGGGGATGGGGCACGAGGCTGTGCTCCCCGCTCTGTCCCCGAGGTGGCTGCAATTAGTTCTTCTGCCCTTCCTCTTCCTCCTCAGATGAAGACCGCCTGTCCAAGAGGAAGAGCATCGGCGAGACCATTTCCCTGCAGGTCGAGGTGGAATCGAGAAACAGCCCTGAGCGAGAGCAGGTACCGTGTTACGCCAGAGGCTGCCTCACCCCTTCGACACCGCCTGCTTTTAGCAGTGTGCAGTTAAGCCCTGTCTAATTCTTTCGTTTGCCTGCACCCATAATCGCTCCGCTGGCTGCGAGCGCGGGGGGGCCCAGAACTCAGCCCCAGCGTGTCTGGCAGTGAGCGGGGTCAGGAAAACCCCACCTGCCCCTGGTGCTCCTCTCCCAGCCTGCAAGGGGAGGGTGGTGGGATGAGCCCGGCTGGACACCGGGTGCCCCCCAAAGCCACCCTGTCACCCCCCTCCTCAGCTGCACCGGGGAGAGAAAATATCACCGAGGGCTCGTGGGTTGAGGTGAGGACGGGGAGATCACTCAGCAATCACCGTCACGGGGGAAACAGACTCGACTCGGGGAAATTAATTTAATTGATCGCCAATTAAATCAGAGTAGGGGAACGAGAAATAAAAATGAAATGTTAAAACCCCTTCCCCGCCCCCCCGCTCCTTTCGTCCTGGGGTCTAAATCACTCCTGCTTTCTCTCCCTCCTCCCCCCCAGCAGCGCAGGGGGCTGGGGCTTGGGGTCAGCTCTTCACCCCTTGTCTCTGCGGCTCCTTCCTCCTCACAGGGAGGACTCCTCACACTCCTCCCCTGCTCCGGCGTGGGCTCCCCATGGGGTCACAGCCCCCTTGGGGCCACCCCCTGCTCCGGCATGGGCTCCCCACGGGGTCACAGCCCCCTTGGGGCCACCCCCTGCTCCAGCGTGGGCTCCCCACGGGGTCACAGCCCCCTTGGGGCCACCCCCTGCTCCGGCGTGGGGTCCCCCGTGGGCTGCAGGTGGGGATCTGCTCCCCCACGGCCCTCCCTGGGTGCAGGGCACAGCCTGCCTCCCCACGGTCTTCATCACGGGCCGCAGGGGAATCTCTGCTCGGGCACCCTCCTCCTTCACCGACCCTGCTGCCTGCAAGGTTGTTGCCCTCACATCTTCTCACTCCTCTCTCCTGGCTGCTGTTGCTCTCCCACACTTTTTATTTCCCTTTCTTAAATCCGGTATCCCCGAGGCACTGCCACCGCCGCTGCTGGGCTTCTCCCCGAAGCCACCCCCGTAGCCGTCCCCCCCCCCCCAGCTACCAAAACCTTGCCACACAGACCCCATCCAGGGAGCCTCACAACAAGGAAGGATCTCTCGCTGCTGTGGGGGTGACAGATCTTTATTTTCGGGGAGATGTGTAGGCCTGGCTAGTCCAGCCTGAAAAAAAAAAAAATTTTTAAAGTGCTGTTTGCCAGGAAAGATCTGCGCGATCTTTAGGGATGGGCTGTGTTTTGGTGCAAGAGGACAGCCCAAGGCGCTGGTTCTGGGTGGTTGTGACCCCGGAGTGGTGTCCTGTGCCGTGCGTTGAGCCTCAGCTGCTCTCCCCTTTTCCTTTAGCGAGCACCGGCGGAAGAGATCACGTACGAGACGCTGAAGAAGGCGATCGGTAAGCGGGGGAGGCCGGCGTGGCGTGTGCGTGTGGGTGCTGTCGCCCCTGCATCCCTGTTTGCTCACCGCGGGTGGATGAGTCCCCCAGCGTTTTGCCATCCAGCATCGCTCCCGGTCACGGGGCAGCTGGGCAGCTTCGTGCCTGGCCCTGGGGGCTGGTCCCAAATCCGGATGCTGGAGACCCTCTTCTCGGCTTTCTAGTGATCCCCAAGTCCCTGCTGGGGAGGTGGTGGTCCGTGAGGGTGGGGAGCAGCTGAGAGCCGTCTGTGTGTGTCCCCCCCACCCCGGCTCTGTTTCAGTAGACAGCGTCGCCGTGGAGGAGCAGGAGCGGGAACGGCGGCGGCAAGTGGTGGAGAAATTTCAGAAAGCCCCGTTCGAGGAGATCGCTGCCCACTGCGGCGCCCGGGTGAGTCGGGGCTGCAGCAGAGCCCCCGTGGCCGCTCTGCTCGGGAGAGGCAGGCGGTGACGGCGAAGCTCTGCATTTCACCAGCCCCCATCCCACCCCTGACCAGGGGGAAGGCCAACGGGGTCCCGCTGTGGTCCCCGGGCTGCGGCCGCCCTAACGCAGTGTCTGCCATTCCAGGCGACGCTGCTGCAGAGCAAACTCAACCAGATCTTCGAGATCACCATACGGTGAGTCGGGGCGACAGCCCCGGCACGCTGCGCCGAGCGGGGGGGGGGGGGGGTGCCTGACCGTGGGGCCAGCGCTGGCTTTTGGGGCAACGGGAGCCACAGGCATGTCTCTGTATGTGTGTGTGTGTGTGTCCCCTGCCCCGCCAAGGAGGCTCGTGTGCTGGGGATGGCTGCCAGCCTTGCGATGGCAAAAGGGGACAAACGCAGCCTCTGGTTTCTTTGCCCCAATTCCCCTCTGCTATAGTGGCCCCGGGGAGACCCGCAAATGCGCGGGAACGCATGTTTTCCACCCCGAGCTTTGCTTTCTCGCCAGATCCTCTCCGTAAAGCGCCTCTTGCGTTTCAGGCCGCCGCCAAGCCCCTCCGGCACCATCACAGCAGCCTACGGCCAGCCCCAGAACCACTCCATCCCGGTGTACGAGATGAAGTTCCCGGACCTGTGCGTGTACTGAAGGTGGCCGTGCTGGCAGGGCACAGCTCGCACCAAAGGACCTCGTGGGGAGAGACTGCCGGCCTCGTGCGGGACGGGTGGGGGGGGGGGGGGGGACACGGACGCCGAGGCCCACCCCCAAGATCCGTCGGCACCCCCAAACCCCTCTCCTGTACTTTCTTTGCGTGACCCTTTGCCTCCGCAGCCACGTTTGCGGTGCGGGAGGCTCGGGGCGCAGCGGCGCGGGGAGGTGGGTATTTTGCTGTGACCTCCCTCTCGGGTTTTGTTTTTCGGGAAGGGGAGAGGAGATGCTTGGGCATGTACATCTTCCCGGCATAAAGCAACCCTGTTCCCTGGGGGATCCCTCCCCGCGTCGTCTGTCGGCCACGTCGCGAGCCCCTGTCGAGGGGGCAGGGCTGAACCTGGAGGGTGCGAGACTGGAAAAGGCAGGAGGGGGGTTTGGGGTGCAGCGCGCCGGGGCGCGGGGCAGCCACAAAACCAAAGCCTGCCCGAGCTGGTGCTTGAGGCAAATACAGTCCCTACGTCCAGCTCCTGGGCTGTGAGCCTCCATCTCCCCGTAGCCCCCCCCCCCCCCATCACCCCGTGGCCAACTCCCCTGGGCGCTTCACCGCACCCCGATGCCCGGTGCAGCACGAGGGTGGCGATCGCCCCACCCCAGGGTGGGGACACACAGCAGCCTGGCTGGTTCCAGGTCACTTGAAAACACGATTCCTTTGGGAAAACTCACTATTTTTTGATTGGGGGGGGGGGTGGGGGGGTGGAAACCCACGAGAGCCGTGCCTCTCGCCCGGGTCACTGGGCAGGCTGCTCGCGGCAGGGCTGGTGTGACTGAGCCCCTGTGGCACCTGGAGCGGTGACACGAGGCATGAGCAACCACCGTGCTGGGGAATATTAACACATTAACCCACCGTTTTCATATCTTCGGGGTGGGTTGTCACAGTTCTGGGGTTCCTGTCTCAAAGAAATAATTTTTTTTTTTTTTTTTTTTAAAGCAGAATCACTCTGTCAAAGTCCAATCTTAAATGGCTCTTTGCCATAATCGCAAAGAAAGCCCAGTGCAGCAGGAAAGAGCTGCGATAAGATGTTGAAGGGGTCCTCCCTGCAGCCCCTGCATCTGGCGGGCTGGGGATCGAGCCTGTTCTTGTGCCGTAGGATAAAACAGGATTTGGGCTGAAGGGGAAAAGAGGCTGTCAAGAGTTTGACTTCAGACACGTGTGGTAGAAAATTCTGGGTCCTACTAAACCGAAACTGCAAGGTGAAGACGGGAGGGATGGGGAGGAAAGGTTGCTTGGGGGTGTTTGGTTGTTCACAGGGGATGTTCAGTCGTTCACAGGGTCTCTCTTGCTCCAAAATGCCTGTTTAAATGTCAGTGCGCTAAGGCTGTTCCCAAAGTTGGGCGCTGCCCGCAGCTTCCCCACTGTCAGCCCTCCCCGAGCAGCCCGGGGGGCTCTCGGGGAGCCCCTTCCCCTCCGGCCAGACACGCTGCTTCTTTCTCTTTGCCCCATGAAGAGACTCAGAAGGGTCTAAAGCTGGAGGCGTGGGAGCTGCTTTTGTACGTGGCGGAGGGGCAGCAGGGAAAGGAGCCGCTCGGCGTTCACCCCAGCTCTGCCCAGTCCCCCCTGGGTTCCCATTTCTCTGCCACCTCTCCCTGCAGACCTTCAGGCAGTTATTTTAAGCTGTAATTACACGTTACCACCCCCTCTTTTTTTTTTTTTTAATTTTTTTTTTTTTAACTCGGTGGCGGATACAGTCAATGCTCGCCCCGAGGTCACCGCTTGTTTGTGTGGTCGTGCTGTAATCCGGCGTAATAATCTTCTGTTAAGAAATGATCTAGTTTAAGAGCACAGGAAAAACAAGGGTTTATTTTGGTCCCTGGGCTGGATCGTGGCGTGGCTCTGCCCGTGCCAGCCCTGCCCCTTGCTGCTGCCTCTCCTCAGGGTCCTCATGTGTCTCTGTCCCCTGTCCCCAAGCCCTTTTTGCTCCCTGGGTTAGGCCTGGTCCAGCTGAAACCTGGGTTTTGGCTGGGGTGGGGGGGGGTTTGGGGTTGGCAGTGGGAAGGCAAACCAGGCTGCTCGGCGAAGCAGCGTTTGCGCCCGTGGTCTGTCCTAACGAAAAGCGCTAAAATTTTTAACACAGCCCATGCGGGAAAAGCGATTAACCCTCACACGGTGTGTCCGGGGTGGGGGGGGGGGGAAAAAAACGACTCCGAAACTCTTCAAAACCACAAAGAAGCGGGGAAGGTGAGCGCAAGGTTTGGTGGCGCTGAAGGAGGGGAAGCCACGGGGACGCGGGCCCTCCTGTCCCCGTGCTTTTCACCTCCCGGCTGCCTGCGTCCCCCCAGCATGTCTCACCGCTGCCCCTCCGCAGTCTGGGACCCAAAAGTCCCCCCCAGACACCCCCCCCACCCCCGGTGTAAGTGACCTGTTTGTACATCACGTTTAGTTTAGATACTTGTGTACGTATAGATGACAGAGTATATTTCTATAAAGCCGACAGTTTAGGTGCATGTGTGTGTTTCCATCTCTGTATTTCGGAGCACTGTGGCGTTTCCGTGTGTAGCCGAGGGCAAGGAGGGGAGGGGGGGGGGTGGGAACGGGCTGTTCAAAGGGCCAAGAAGCCATTGGTATTTTCAAATGCACCGTCTTAATGCCCTTTTCAAATAAATGTTGATGTTGCCACAGTAGGGGCTCTGCTCTTCTTGGCCATCTCTGCCCTGGGAGAGGAAAAATGGGTGGTTGCTGCTGGGATGGAGAAGGGGAGGCATGGAGGGAGGAGGAGGAGGCTGGCCTTGGCTGCGGACAAGCTTGCTTTCCCCCAGCTTTGCGCCCAGGATCCAACCCAACCCAGGCTTCGCCTTTATCATCCTTTATAATTCAACATTTCCTCCGTTTTCCCCCCATCGCGCAGAAGCCCGCTGCGGCGCGCAGGGCCGTGGGGAAAGAAAGGGCCAGGTGTGCGTGACACAAACCCACTTGCCAAGGCCAAAAATGAGAAATAAAAACACCCAGATACGTTATTTGAGGGGCCAAAATACACGTGGAGCCACGCACCAGCATCCCCCTCTGCTCCTTGCGATGTTAAGGACTGATGGAGGACACCTCTGCTAAGGGGTGGGTGGGGGGAAAAGCCCTGGTTTCTTTTAGCAATATTTCCACCACGTTATACCAAATAAACGAGGATGCTTTCCCTAATCCCCAAGCTCTTCAGCATTATCATTTGATGGGGAATTAATGAGTTTACCTGGGAGGTGGGCGTTGGGGGAGCCTGGCTGGGTCCCTTTGCTCCTTGGGGCAACACCCCAAGGATGTGGCGTGTCCCCAGGCTGCCAGCAAATGCCGTCATCGCCTGTCACATCAGCGCGGGGCTCCCCTCCGGCACCGGAACACGCTCCGCTGGGGTGTGCAGGAGCTGGCCTCTGCCAAAACGCAGCCCCCCGGTGCCCACTCCAGAGCCCCACGGCCGGCTCCCGTGAAGCTCCTGGCTCGGGGGTGCAAAATTATTCTTTCTCCCCCCCCCCGCCCCAAAACAAGCTCCCCAGCACTTTCCCAGCCACCTCTCTTTACCCCGCAGCCACAGGATTTTACTTTGCAACTGTTTTCCCCATCCCTTTACAAACACCAGGCGACCCCAGCGACATTGCTGACATCTGGTTAGCTTGCAAAAAAATGTATTAATTTTTTTTTGTTGTTGAGAATTTTTTTTTTTTTTTTTTTGAGAATTCTCCTCATCTATCATTTACAGTATTGTACAGCTCCGTGAAAATATGAAAATCACCCAGCGTGCTCCAAACTGGGCATCCTCCCCGCACGTGTCCAGCGGGTGCGGCGAAGCGGTTGACGTCTTTACCCCTAACCTGCTCCCGTTAATTGAAACCCGGGGGGGGGGGGGCGGACCCCTTCGGAGTGCTAATTAAGAACGACGTAACGAGCGATCTCTAAGTGAAACACATGCCAGCGGGACACTAAAGCTACGGGGTAGGGCCAGGGGAGGAGGTGGCAGCAGGGGCAGGACGCCCCGCGGGCTCTCCCCCCATCACTGCCCCTTCTTGTAGGCGCTTTTGACGATGGCGTTTTTGAAGAGAGTCACTAGAGGGGTCTGGCTGTGCTCCGAGGTCATGAAGCCCCCGTAGCGCTTGTCCTTCAAGGGCGCGTGCCAGCGGAAAGGGCGCACGCGGTGGGAGCCGCCGGCCTTCTTCTCCTCCTCCTGGTCTTCTTCTTCCTCCCCCTCTTCCTCCTCGGGCGGCGCGCCGGTGCTGCCGAGCGCCAGCTCCCGCCTGAACTCCAGCGGGTAGCTCTCGGCCGACTCCTCCTCCACCCCGTTGGGGTAGACCTTGATGGGTCTCCTCTTGCGTCCCACGGGTTTTCCCCAGCGAAAGTGCTCCATGGAGTAGGAGCGTTTGCCTTCCTCCCGTTCCGGCCCGGTTCCCTCCTCTTCCATGCGGCGGGGGGGCGGGATGGGGGGCAGCGGGTTACCCCCCGCCGCCTCTTCCCGTTTGTGGCCCCCGCTGCTGCTGCTGCTGCTGCTGCTGCTGCTGCTGCTGTTCCTCCGGCCGAACTTGTTCCACCGAAAGTGGCTCATGACGTACTTGCGGACGCTCTCGGAGAGGGGCTGGAGGTGCCCGTTCCCCGGGTAGACGGGCGCCTCGGCCGACAGATCGGCCCTGCAGGCCGCCGCACACGCCTGCGCGTGGAGTGGGAGGGGGAGAAAAAACAAAAAACAAAAAACAAACAAAAAAAAAAAACAAAAAAAAAACAAAAACAAAAAAACAAACAAAAAACAAACAAAAAAAACAAAACAAAACAAAAAAAAACAAACAAAAAAACCCAAAAAAACAAACAAAAAAAACAAAACAAAACAAACAAAAAAAACCCAAAAAAAACAAAAAACCAAAAAACAAACAAAAAAAACAAAACAAAACAAACAAAAAAAAACCAAAAAAACAAAAAAAACCAAAAAACCAAACAAACAAAAAAAACAAAACAAACAAAAAAAAACAACAACAAAAAGAAAAAAAAAAAACCAAAAAAACCCAAAACAAAACAAAAAACAACAACAGAAAAAACAAACAAACAAAAAAAACAAAAAACAAAACAAAAAAAAAAAAACAAACAAACAAAAAAAAAAACCCAAACCAAACCAAAACAAAAAACAACAACAAAAAAACAAAAAACAAAAAAAAAAGCAACAAAAAAAAAACAAACAAAAAACAAAAAAAAAAAACCCAAAACAAAACAAAAAACAACAACAAAAAAGAAAAAAAAAAAAACAAAAAAACAAAAAAAAAAAACACAAAAAACAAAAAACAAAACAAAAAAAAAAGCAAAAAAAAAACCAAAACAAAACAACAACAAAAAGAAACAAACAAACAAAAAAAACCCAAACAAAAAAAAACAAAAAAAACAAAACAAAAAAAAAATCAAAAAACAACAAAAAACAAAACAAAACAAAACAACAAAACAAAAAAAAAACAAAAACAAACAAACAAACAAACAAAAAAAACCAAAAACCAAAACAAAAAAGACACAAACAAACAAAAAACCAAAAGGGGTTCGGGGGGAGCAACAAGGTGGGTGAGCGCACGGGCGGCACCCGTGGTGGTGCAATCCTCACCCCCCAGCTTCCCCGGGGCTGCTCGGTGCTAAGGGTGATTGCACCCCCCCCCCCCGGGGCCGTGTGTCGACCTGGAGACAGAAGGGCTGCTAAGGGCAGGGGGGCAGCACGTCAAGGAGCCCCTTTCAGCAGCCCGGCTCCTGCCCCTCGCCATCGCTCCGAAATGGTTCGAAGGGTCCCTGGTCTCCCAGCAGCCTGGCACACCTGCACCCGGGGTGGGAGCAAGGCAGAACCACAGCAGAGTTGCGCCTTCGTTCAATTCTCGCGCAACTGCTGGAAGGTCCCGGAATGTTTCCTTGTTTGAGCTGGGCCTGAGTGAAAATAGATGACAAAAGTCAATTATCTCGGCCCCTCTTAACTGCAGCTCCGAGCGAGACCCTTTGAGCTCTCCCGGATGGCAGCGGGACTGCGACCAGCAGCTCCCCGGAGCTGGGACACCCCTCAGGTTCCAAAAACCTGAAGGTGTCATCTGCTGCCAGAGCTGACGAAAGGCCAGGGCCAAGTCAGCCCACTCGAGTCTCAATTATCGCCCGCCGAGGAATCCCAAGGCGCTGCGAGCATTTGCTCTAAACTCAAGGAGGGAACTTTTTGAGCTAGCTTCTCTTCCTCTTTCTCTGCCTCTTGGTGTGTGGAGATACATACTTCATTCTGCTGGATCCAAATACTTTTGTCTCGCGCGTGTGTGTGTGCATGTTTGCATGTTTTGTGCTTGCGTATGTGCATGTATATATATTTTTATTTAAGATACCTTATAGTAAGTCAGAATCTTGTCATCTTAGAATCCGTAGATAAGTCGCTCTTTTTAATTCTAACATTTTCCTGAATTATTTTGTACGTATTCAAACCGGTTAATGATCAAGTGCTGTTAGTTATTAATAAATTCTGATTTGTTGTTAAATCATTACCGTGCTAAAACTTCCATCTGCGACGGCATCCCCGGGGAGGGGGGGGGTCTGCAGGGGGCTGCTTGCATGGAGGGGGGGATGTTTCACAAGATGGTTCCACGCTTGTGCCCCGCTGAGGTTCCCGCGCAGGTGCCACCCCCTTGGCGGGGAATTTTGAGGGCTGAGCCTGGAGCATCACGCCCAGGTAACAAATCAGGGCGGCTGGAAACGGTGCCGGAGAATTTGGGGGCACGAGGTGAGTCGCTGCCCTGGCTTGTCACCACCACCACCCCTCTGCAGGCACCTCTGGGCACGGGGTAAAGCCGAACCCCAACTCCCTGGTTCACCCCGCGCAGGAGGGATGCTGCAAGCTCCAAGATTTATTTTGGCAGCATCCCGCTGCGTGAAGCCGGCAGGCATGAGCCCACCAAAACTGTTGGGTCCAAAGCATCATCCCCCCCCCCGCCACGGATGCAGGTCACCCCACGGTGTTGGCCTTGTCACCTCCTTCCCCAGCCCATCGCGCCGGTCCCTGGAAGGGGTTGGGGGGGGGTGTCAGAAATCAAAGGGACTAGAGGGCAGCTCCCATCCTCACCAAAATTCCGGCCTCGCTGGTGAGGTCCTGGCATGTGGGGCTCTCCCAGCACGGGCCGCTGGCGCCGGCGGGGTGCCAGAGCAGCAGCCCCAGCACCACGGGCAGGCTGCCCCACAGCGCGCTCGCCATCCTGGCCGGGGGCACGAGGCTGGGCTCACACGGGGGATGCGAGGGGCCCAGAAACCATGCAGGAACTATGGGGAGAAAAAAAAAAAAAAAAAAAAAAAAAAAACCCAAACAAACAACAACAAAAAAAAAAAAAAACAAAAACAAAACAAACAAAAAAAAAAAACAAAAAGAAACAAACAAACAAAAAAAAAAAAACAACAAAAAAACAAACCAAAACTCTTTTTTTAACTTCCAGAGATTCTGTAATGTATTTTTGTAATTTTTTTTTTTTTTTTTTTTGCTGTGCACACCTTACCCTTCCCCTCTTCTAAGTTGTCTCTGTTGGGGTTGCAGGGGCAGGGTCCCCCTCCTGCGGCACCGACCCGCCTCCCCCCGCCCTCTCCCTTCCCGGGGGGCTGCAGCTCTGCCTGTCCCCCCGGGGAGATGCATTAGTGCTGCAAACCCTTCCTCCTGCAAAGCTCCCAGCTCCTTGCCAAGGCACGCTCCTCCCTGCTCCCCAGGAGCAGAGGGGGGGGGTGTGTGTGTGTGTGATTTTTGCCAGAGGGGAAACTGAGGCACGGAAAAGGGAAGGCAACAACCCAAAGCTGCCACCGTGCCTGCACCCTTATCCCTCGGCTCAGCTGCTCCAAAAAATGAACAACGCTCCCTCCTGCCTCTTCCTTTTGCCTTCGAAACCGAAAGGCATCTCTCTGGATCCCGGGTCTTTTGTCACTGCTAGGGCAGGTGACAACCGCTGTCGGCGGGGATTGCGGCCGCCTCCTAAGAACCCCATAAAGGTGAGTGATGCTGCAAGGGGAAAGCTTTAGGGAGCTGTCGCCAGGTTTCATCCTCTGCCAACCACTCGTGGCTTGCAAGCCGAGTCGTCTGAAAAATACATGCTCCCTCCTAACCTGTCCTGCGATGCCCCTCAAGCGGCTGCAAAACTCCTGCGTGGTGGGAGACACAACTGTAAATAATATTCAGTTAGGCTTAGCAGAGTAAGGCATGAATATTTTACATTAAATAATACTGAAGTCCTACTGCCGTGCTTTTGGGAAGGGCTATGGCAAGCGCTGGTGGTGTTTGGGACGGTGGCGTGCCCCGGGGGTGGTCAAAATTAAGTCAGGATCAAGCTGAAATCTGGGACTGAGGCGGCTGTTGCTGTTGTGCCACCAAGGATGAGGTTAGGGGTGATGCCTGGACACCCCGGGACCTGGCTTGGGGGCCCCAAGGATGCCCGGGCTGCTTTCCCTTTGCGAACCCCAACTCTTTCCCAAGCAGGCAAATTTAACTCAGCGTAGACTCACGTGTCTCGCCCTCCCCCCTGATGCGGGAGCTCTGCAGGGGGGAAAACCCCATCCCACACTGACAACAAGCAGAAGGAAAAACTAATTTTGCCCCAAAATGTGTGGCTGGAGGTGAGAGCTGTCCCCTCCTGATGCAAGAGCCACGAGGTCAAGCCTGGATGGAGGGGGACTTTCTTTGGCAGAGTTAAAAAAAGCCCTGATGGTTATGACAGCAAATAGCAGTTCAGAAAGGGGGGACAAAACGGTGAGACAGACCGAATTTAAACATAAACGTTGGCTTTCTGTCTCCTGCCCAAATTTGAGGGTGTTGCCTCCCGGGATCCCCCCAGCGCAGGATCACCGAGGGTCCGGGGTGGGAGCAGGCAGCACTTCTGTAACACATTAACACCCAATAAACCAAAAAAAAAAAAAACCTGGCAAGAAGCCGGGGGCAGGGAGGGAAGGTTGTGTTTTATTGCCCATTCTTCTTTGGGCAATAAAATTCTTCTCGACTCCTGTCGGGCGACCATCCATCCCAGCATGTCACACACCCACACCCCGCAGCGACCGGTCCCCATCACCCACCATCAAGCCCATATTTTTGCTGAGTTGCTTCCCCCCCCCCCCCCGCCCTCCACGCACCCCAAGACACACATCGGGGAGACCCACAGGGCTGGGTCGTTGGTTTTTGGGGCTTACCTGGGGCCGGGGCGGGAACCCGACCGCTGTCACCTCAACGTCCTCCGTCCCCCCTCTCCCGGAGAGCGTCTGCCACTCGGCCCGCCGGCTTTTTATATCCCCCCACGACAATCACATCCATCGCATCTGCCAGAGAAAAGGGGCGGGGGGGGCAGGGGGGGGACCGTTCCAGGTACCGAACAAAAGATGAGCAAGCGACAGGCGTTCGCCGGATCCAGCCCCGTGGCGGATGGAGGGATTAACATCCCTCCGCGAACAGCAGCCGGCAAAGTTTTTCCAGGCGACGCTGCTAATTGCATTTACAGCTTTAGAGCTGGGGAGGGGGGGGGGGGGGGGGGGGGGGGGCGGGGGGGGTTTGGGATGGAAAACCTTTCGCCGGGTTTCGCTGGGCACCCACGGCGCTGGATTTGGCACGGGTTGTTTTTTTACCGGCGTGCTGGACAGGAGCATCCGTCACTCCCCGGGCTCGGGCGTGGGAGGGCTTCGTGCTCCGGTGGGTGCTGAGGATTTAGGGTTGTCTTTCCACAGGAT